ATTTTCATCAAAAACCTGAAAATTGAAATAAATGCATGGAAAGATAGCCTGACTTCTGCTCTTTCCGAAACAACGTGATTTTTAAATCGACACCCCCCATTTTAGGGCAAAATTTTTGATCATTTTTATCATCTACGTCTTTAAAAAAAATCAGGCTTTTTTCAGAAAAAAAACGGAAAATGTTTTTCGTTTTTTCTCAGTTTATAATTTTTTGATAGCACAACTCTAAGTTCTCAGTCCTAGCTCGTTTTACATATTTTTTTATTTTTTTATTTGAAAGAGCATGCCAAGATGTAGGGCACTACAGAGTCCTTTTTTTTAAATTAAGCTTTGTTTATCACGATGTATCACTCTTTTTTTTTCTATATAAAAGATAGGAATTTTGAAAAAAGGATTCTGCGGTGCTCTGCATCCTGAGATGTTCTTTCAAACAAAAAAGAAAAATAACTATATAGAATGAGCTTGGGCAGAGAATTTTGAGTTGCCAAATGAGCTAGTTTTGGTATTTATACTTGGTGAATATCTCCCTCAAACGTCATACTATAGAACTGAAAATTTTACCAAAGCCTGTCCACTACAGCTCCAATACATCTTGAAAATTTCATGTGATTTGCATGTATCTGGCCTGAGATCGATTTTTTGAGGGCTGAGGTCCTTAAATGCGATTATTTGATTGCATGACGTTTTCTAATTTTGATGCACATATATGTTGTAGGCAAAATTGAAATTCGGGCAAATTTAAAATTTGCCCAGTCAAAATTGAAATTTTAATTTTGACTAGGCAAAATTAGAATTCTAATTTTGACCAAAAATTTATCAGTCAGAATTAAAATTTCAATTTTGACTGGGCAGATTTAAAATTTGACTAGAGGTTAGATCATTTGAATAAAACAATAATAATTACAACAAACAAAATAATTTTTTATTAATTTTTTTTAATAAAATGGCTAATAAAAAAATCTTTTCAACTATTCATCCATTTTCTTGCAAGTACTTTGTTCTGAGTGACACTTTGTAGAACAGAAAACTCCGATTTTTCTACATTCACATTGCTTTGTAGTGCTTCATAGTCCCTAATGAAAGTATTGGGTTCAAAGTATCCCAAAAGGTACCCTGCTATCAGTATGTCACAAAAACTTTTAAGTATCCTGCAAGGAACTATATCATTACCTCATCGTAATCGGGTACCTACTTACGTACTTCCCAGTTTCTATAGCATGCATGAAGAATTTTTCAATAATTTAGTCCACTGAACGCCTACAAGCATTCTGAAGTCTAGATAAAAGACTAGAAAAGTACCTTCACGTATTTCAGTCCTTTCATTAAGGATTATTAAGCACTACAAAGCCATATGAATGTAGAAAAATGGAAGTTTTTTGGTTTACGATGTGTCATTCAAAACGAGGTGCTCGTAAGAATATGGATGAATAGTTGAAAAGATTTTTTGTTAACCATTTTATGAAAAAAAAACATATTAAAAACTTATTCTATTTCTTGAAATTATTTTTGTTTTATTTAAATGATCTAACCTTTAGTCAAATTTTAAATCTGCCCAGTCAAAATTGAAATTTTAATTCTGACTGATAAATTCTCGGTCAAAATTAGAATTCTAATTTTGCCTAGTCAAAATTAAAATTTCAATTTTGACTGGGCAAATTTAAAATTTGCCCGGATTTCAATTTTGCCTACAACATATATATCAATCAAAAATATTGATTAGGTAAATTTAATTTATTATTTGAAAAAATCTCGATGTCATGTAACAATTTGAACTGCTCGATTGGTGTTGAATAAAATAAAATCAAGTTAACATCAAAGATCCGCAGTACCGTCTTATGTCCTAACCCAGTGTCGCACGCTTGTTTTTTTTTCTAGGTGTGGGTTGTAGAGTCCTTCACTGGGTCCAAAAAATTTTTCCGACTCAATCAAAGAAATACGAGCCGTTCTGTTATTTTTCATGCTAATACATCACTCAACCGTTCATCTTGTAGAGAAATCTTTTCTGTTTCACCAGATGAACGGTTGAGTAATGTATTAGCATGAAAAATGACAGAGCGGCTCGTATTTCTTTCACCGAGTCCGAAAATTTTTTTGAACCTAGTGTAGGGCTTCAGTGGGTGTGCGTGTTGGCTGTGGAGTGTGGGTGTGGAGTGCGGGTGTGGGTTGTGTGTAGGCGTGTGGCGGTGTCAGAGCTGCCACCTCTTCTGCTTTTAGCAGAAAAATTCTGCTGTTTGAAGTTGTTTCTGTTTTTTTTTCTGTCGTTTCTGCTTTTTTTGATACGGCGTTATTTATTAATGCAATCAACATTTTTCACCTGACATACCTTCGTTTCCATAATTATTTAAAAAAACCGTATTAAAAACTACTGATATTGTTGTGCCATTCTAATTCTTTCTATTTGATACAGATGATTTTTATTTTCTACTGACTACATACAACTGTCAACCTATATATTTGGCTTTAAATCAATTCTTTACCTACGATTTTCTACCGTATTTTAATTACTCATGTAATTCATATACATCAACATATACATTCTTTCATTTGTTTACTCGATGAACATGAATAATTAATATAATTAGTGAGAGAAAGCGAACAGAAAAAAGACAGTTCTAGATGATAATGACAGCTCGACTAGCAAAGAAGGTACTCACAAAGCAGTAGTAGTTGCTGAAGTAATAATTATGTCATCAGAAGTTAAACCAGAAAACAGAAATTGAATAGAGTTATCTTCGACAGAGAATGCTTCAAAGTCGTCGAATATTAATGATCTTTAAGAGAATATAAATTTGATCCGTCTCAACTAACATTTATCGTTCGCTATCAACAGTTTTCCAGACATTGCTAATAAAAAGCTAATATTGATAATCCTATGAACAATAAGAAACAAAAAAAAATTTAAATGCTATGATTTAATCAACAATTATTTTGAATTTCTCGTTATCATATACTGTAATGGATAAATATTTATTAGGTAAAAAAAGATTTGTCAAAAGCTCTTAAATCAGATGAAGAATACTCTTTAAAAAGAAAATGTGTTCAATGATTCTGTCTATTAATTAATTAGTTGTGTTTTGTGATGCTATACAATGCTAGTGATTAGTATAGTGAAACTAAAATTTAAAACTAACGGGTAGCTTGTCATAAAAGAGGATCTCAATATTTTGTTAACATCTTAAGTGTTATCTTATCACTCACGCTTTATTTTTTTTTTATCGAAAGATTCACCATCTGATTCTACAGAAATTGGTATATTTCGCTGTAAAAACCACTTATCTCTCTTTTGAACATCATCATGATTTAAAACAAGTATTACAAACAACTTTCAAAGTCTTCATTTTTTTCAATTTTTTTTCAAAATGTCCAGTTTCTCAATTAATTCTGTTACTTTGAGTATAATTTGTTCGCCACTCAAGAGATAAATCGGTTCATTTCAATCAATGTACCAAAGGCAATTTATTTTATTGCTGGATAAAGAATACGGCACGATCAATGATAATAAGACTAACCTAAGGACTGGATGTTTTCGGAAAAAATTGAAAAAAACAGAGATTTTGAAAGTTGTGTGTAGTGCTGTTTTTAAATTGTGGTGATGTCGAAAGAGAAAGAAATAAGTATTTTTACAAAGAAATATGCAATTTGTGCAGAAGGAAACGGTGAATCTTTTGATTAAAAAAATAAAACATGAGCGATAAGATAACGCTTAAAATGTTAACAAAATACTGAGACCCTCTTTTATTACGAGCTACCCATTAGTTTCATATCGCAAACATATTTTCTACTGTCTTTCTGCTTCTAGATGATAAAACTTCCGTTATTTTCTACGTTTTCAAAGTGTTTTCCGCTTTTCGGACTTCAAAAGGTGGCAGCACTGTTGGATAGCGCTTACGAATGTATGAAAGCGTGTGGGTGTGAGTGTCGGTATTTCTCTTCATAACACCGACCCACACTAGGGATCTGTAAAACCACTATTTTTCATGCCCTGTCCAGGTCCAGTTCTGGTTAAAGTGTTTCTAGTCCTGATCCCGGTTATATTGTTTTCTAGTCCCGGTTCCGGTTCTAGTCTTAGATAAAAGCTATATATTGGCTGTATATTATAAGTTACTTAGTCAGAAAAACCAGATGTTATTGCAAAATTCTGATTTTTTAAGTCAAAACTAAGACCACAAGAGAAATTTTGTCAAAATTGTTAAAGGATCTTGGTTTTTAGATAGCTGATCATAAAAAAATAATAAATATCAAAATGCCTAGTCTCGTCTAGTTTTTTGTATGAAAACCTATCGGGACCAGCTTGAAGATATTGATTCCGGTCTCGGCAAAAAGCGAAATTTTGGTCCCGGTCTTGCTGGAATCGGGACTGAAGCCATCTTGCAGATCCGTAGCCCACACTCACACCCTCGTGACTATCGTGGCCAAGAGTCAATCACGGACATGCTGAGTTCTATCACCGATGTGCGATTTGTAAAAACTTGATAACTATATATAGACATGAAAAAGAACTGTTTATTTTCTTGAAATAAAATTGAAACTGAGCACAGAATAAAGCCAATACAACAAAAGCATACTGTTTACATGTTTATTTTCGGATTAGAATATGTAAAAGATTATTCATTTTCAGTTATGATATTTATTCGCAGCGAAATTGGTTTCGAATGGTTCTTATAATACGAATAGTAGCTTCACTGAACTCTTTTTTATAGAATTCAGAGGGTAGAACAAAGAGTATGAATAAAAGTAATGGTGGAATGAATGAAATAAAATAAGCAGTGAGATATAGCCAAGGATTTCGGGCTGATTTCATGCACGTAGAAACAAGTGAAATGATTAGACGTGGTATAGCAATGATGACTAAAATGAAAGAACTTAATAATCGATGTTTGTGTCGACGAAATTGTTTCGATAAATGTTTTTTATATGTTTCTTCTTGGTTTGTTTTCGATTTTCTTCGAGCTATTAAGACAATCATGAATAGAGCACAGATGAAATTAATACAAAGAGGTAGAAGAAAATGAAAGAAATTAATAAATGAAGCGTAGCGTCTTATAGATGATGAGTAACGAACTATACACCATGTACGTTGTTCTTCTGGGTCTTCAAGTAAATAACGATTTAAAGGATCATGAAGAAAACTTGCTAAGATGAACAGATATAATCCGAAGATCACTCTTTTAGCAGCTTTTTTACTACTTATTCTATTGAATTTTGTTCCAAGCTGAATGGTAAATATTTGTTCAATACTTACACAAGCATTTAACCATTCTCCAATTGCCAAAAATGCTTTCAAAAGTATGTCTGTACATATACAATGTAATAAAAGAAAAGAATAATTAGTAATTATTGACATTTGAGAAAAGACAAGTAAGAAAAATTTGAGAGTAAATAATGTCATTGTTAGAAGTGATGTGATTGATGAGGCAAGTAGATGTACACCGGAACCTATTCCAAGTGATCGTTTCGTTCGAAAAGTGATCACAGATAAAACACCATTAATAATAGCAATAACGAACATCAGTATTGTAAAAGCTGTAGTGACTTTCACTACTGTCGGTTGTCGTGAGAAAGACATATTTGGCCAAATATTATAACCAAGAATATCATCGAGTGATAGGCCAAATCCTATTGTAGTAAATTGACATCGACTACCATAATAACATTCTTTGCATAAACATGCCGATGATGTTGGACAAGTATTATTGTCTTGAAAACATTGACCATTATTTTCACAATAATTATATCCTAAACAATTATAAGTAGAAGGATAGTCGAATTTGAAACAATTTGGATATCGATCAATATCACATAGACACATAAAATAATCATTGTCATAGAAACATGTAAGATTTGAATGTTTTTGACATGGAATATAATATTTTTTAACACGATGCCATCGTGGTAAGGTTCGAATATCATCAGTGAATAAGTCTTCGATTGATAAACATCGATGTTCAGGAATAATTGTCGTTGAAAAATTCATTGCTAATGTAAAATTATGTTGAAGTAAAGCAAGATAATACTGTTGCTGAAATTCTACAAATATTAGATGAAATGATCCTCCATAATAAACAACAGTAGAACTTTCATGAAACTTTAATTTTGACATCATAGTTATCTGTGTTGGATCAGGAGGAAGCGGTTTAAGAAGTGTGCCAGGTGTTGGTGGAATATAGACAAAATGAATGAAAATCGTTTGTGGAATGAATATAGTTTTAGAAAAATGAAATTCGATTTTTGTTTCGAGATGTTCACATCTTGAACCCATGTAACCTTGAGAACAAAGACAAAAGTATTCTATTTCAAGGTTTTTCTCACCGCCAGGAATACATCGACCATTATTAGAACACAGATTCGAGATGCAAGCTGTTCTTTTCAGATAACAACGTGGTCCAAATTTATCAAGAGGACAAACACATATTGATCGATTGTTTACAACTCCAATACAAATCGAATCTGATGAACAATCACATGAATTCTCTATTGTACATAACATTCCAGAATAACCCTTAGAACATTGACAGAAGTATTGATCAGAATTGGAAAAATGTCTACATTGTCCATGCACACATTTTAAAGGACAAGTTTTCGATTTGATTTTAACTTCTGGTACCGGAACATTGACTTGTAATGAAAGACGATGTACTGGTAAGAATGAATATTGAATAGGATAGATCATACTAGCATAATATTCCATTTTTTCCTTATTATATGTATCAATACGTACATAATAAGTTCGATTGATATTTTTTGGTCGTGTCGAATAGAGAAGATAGAGATTGAATTTTTTCCGACAATCACGTACGTATACAAAATCAAGTTGTTCTGAAGAATGAATGTTTGTATTTTCATCAATAAGCATGATAACAAAATTGAATACTGTTCGCAATTCAGTTGTTCGAAATTTTAATGTAAGACTAATTCGTTGATTTTGATATTCACATCGATATCCAAAATAGGCTGGAGGACATAAACAAGAGTTTTCTGGGAAATTATTTATATAGATAGGAATTCCACGATTACAAATTGGACTTAAACCATGATTTATCGATTCCGAAAACCATTCGAAATCCAATGGATTAAAATGAACAGTTTCCATAGTTGTTGCTGCAATGGAATTATGCTCGTTGGTAATTGTCTCAATAGGAGGCGGATAGAGAAGATGATTTTTCAATGTAAAATAGACAAAAAAATCTTTCTTTAGGCCTGCAATCAGTTGATGCCAATACAAGTAATAATCGAAACCGCGTAACTGTTGAAAAATATTGTCATAATCTATCGAATATGAAAAATTTCGGAGCATTTTACACCATAGGTCTTGGTCATCTCCCGATGAACAATGTGGTACATTTGCACCACATACATCATGACGATAAATGCACTGTGTCTCGTTGAAGCAACGATAAGTTTTACCTTTAATTGGTTTCGACTTTGGTCCACAGCGATCTTGTTCATCATAACCACCTACACAATCAATATGACCGTCATTAATTCGCGAGAGAGATAAACAAGTAAAATTGTGACTAAATGGTAATATACAAGGATGTCCATTTGGACGACATGGATTATAAAGACAGTTAGCTTCATCGATTGCATTGCGACAATTCCATTTTCCATCACATCGTGTATATGCATTATTACAAGGCCAATCGTCGTCACAGTCCGTTTCATCTGTGTAGTTAAGCCCATCGATTCTGCTATGGTCGATAAAACCATCGCAAAGTATTGTGAATGACAGATGAAAATTCATTGGATTTGAACCAATTGCGATTTTAGACGCATCTTCTCCACCGATACACATCCATTTAGGCGTGTTAATACTAGTGATAGGTACGCATTTCTTTTCCGAGGAACATCGAAAGCGATAATCGATATCTGGTAATGAACAATTATTCGTGATTTGTTCGTCATCTCCTTGAAAACAATCGGGAAAACCATCAAGAAGTCGATTCAAAGCGATGCATTTTGATGAATTTGCACATCGATATGGTTTTGACTTTGGACACTTAACATACTTGATCGTTGTAGTCGAACATTTGAGAAAAAAGTTTAATATGAGAGTCTCGAAAATATCATCTTGCATTACCGATGTTTTACCTATATCCAATTCCGAAGGCCGTCGACAAGTTAAGCCATGAATCAATATAGTAGCTGGAATCCATTTGCAAAGTTCTTGATCGTAACATACATAATGAGGTAAAAGAATATCGAACTCATATTTATTTGTTAGATCATTTGCATAGGCAAAGCGAACGTGACTCAGCATTATTGGCTGAATAGGAAAGAAGAAAAGTGGTGGACAGCTTTCTCGAAAGAGATTTTCATTCTTATTTTTCTCTTCACATTCCACTTGACTGAAGAGATTTTTACGACTACGACTTGGAATTGTCAAACAAATCAAACTTATCCAACAATTAAATGATAAATGAGAATTTGCATTTTGAGATAATTTTGCTTTCTTTAATTGAACCTCACGACCGCTATGACATCTATCCATAGTACATAGGCCATCACCACATGATAGGAAACGTTCATTTCGACATGTTGTTTCTTCACAACGGAACGTCGGATCTGTCACACAATCACAATCTGGTGATGTAGTATATTCGATATGGTGATACTTTTCATCCGAATGATCGATGCAATCTGGATTCAAAGAATCATCATTGAAAAATTCTTTTGGAATGCAAAATCCATTGCTACAACTGAATTCATTTTCTTTGCATTCATTTATATGTAACATGTCACAACCAATTTCATCTTGACCAACATCCAAACAATCGATTTTTCCATCGCATATTTCACGCCAGTCGAGACAAGATGGTGATGGGCCTCGATTACATTCTAAGAATATATAACATGTTCCGTTCTTGAATGCATTATTTATTTCTTGTTTAAGATAGTTGAAATAAGCCCATAGAATCCTATTGAAAGACCATGTCAAATTAAATGAATATTGACAATATTCACCGAACCATGGTTTTGAACAATTGTTAAATATTTGTGTTGATAAAGATGAATTTGGCTTTTCGAGAAATTCTTGATATCGTTCAACAACATCAATAGATGCAGATAATAAATATAACTGTTGACTTGTTATATTTTCTCTTTGTAATGTTTCGAATTTAATTGGTGTTCCATGTATGACGCTTTTTTCGTTATTCACCAATTGACTGGATGACAAATTATATGGACGTATACAGTAAGGAATTATTTGATATTGATAAGGATTTGTTTCTTGAGAATTTATATGACATTGAATGGTAGAAAGTACATTATATAACAAACAGTCATGATCCAACGAATTGTTACTTACATGATCTGTATAATAGAGATGAAATTGAGACGTCGTCACTGATAATTGAAAAATGAACAAGAGCACAAATAAAAGCCAATAGAACATTCTACGTAGTATTATATTAGACACTTGTGGATCAAATTTGAATTACACTTAAGTTATTATTTATTCTCAAACTCTTTAGATAATCACGTATGATGTATACGGGTGTTGTAAATGGTCTTTGTTTCGAAATCAAGAATATAGACAGGACAATCTTGAAGAAAAAAAAATCTGAAATTTAAATAATATTCAGAAAGTTGTAAAACTTGTTCTAATATTTCTGTCTCATATAAAATACGAATATATATGAATTTATAAATGATAGTCATTTAAAATTAACATGATAAATGATCGAGAAAGAATACAGGGTACAGCAACAGGATTATTATTTTTTTGTTCCTATATACATTTCTAAACCTGCTTCTTTCTTCTAGTTTTTTTTCTCTTTCTCGTTTTATTCTTTTTTGTTTTCTCTTTTCCTAGAAAATGCAACCATATTGTAGTTCAAGGCTGCTCCACTTTTCAGAGTTCGAATGAGTTTTACCTTATTTTAGAAATGGTATACGTGACGTACAATAGTGAATACACAACTTGAAAGAAATTCTAGATACCTTGTACAAAACTAATGAGATGAGAGTATTTTTCTAATGGGAAAGCATGTTTTCAACTTCGTTGTTAAAAATGAGCTGGATGTTTTAAGAATTCTAACCGATCATGGTAAGCAGCCAATCTGATACAGAATACCTTGTTGATCCTCTGAATTTTTTTAAATAGTTTTTTCAAGTTTTTTTCCAAAAAAATTGAGCATAAAAGTGGTTGTTTTTCGCGAATGGAATCCAACAGAACATTCAATAAGTATCTCGACGCGTCGATTTTGGCTTTCGATGGGCATTGGAATTCCAAACAGAATCCTCGGATTGCTACTTTCCAATAGGTCGAGAGCTCGATGTTAGGTCATTTCTATCAGCAGTTTTTGACCACTCGAAGAATCATTTTCGAGAGGATCGGAATTCGATTAAAATAACAAAAAGGTGTTTGTTCGATAGGTGTCTCAGTTTCGAGTCGTCGAAATCTATCAAATATATGCGAAGGACAAGATTTGAACATGAGTATTTACCAAAGATGGACGAATCGCGATGTCACACCACTCCTGTTCCGCCGCGAAGTGGTGATGGGGTACTGCAAGATTTGGTGGTTTCTCCACCTTCTGAGGAAACTATTCTCTCTTTTAAAAAACAGTAAAATCTACAAAAATTAGTAACTTTCGATAGTTTTCTTTTATTTTTGAAATAATCTATATGCATTTTGTTTACTATGTTCAATGTTGTGCAAATGAGATAGTGATGTGATGTATTTCTAGGATGAACAGTGCCAGTTCTGTATACATTTATAAACAATCTTATCAGGTGTGGCGCGAGTGGGAGGGGGAGGATTGAGGGAGATTGCCTCCCCTGAGTTTGAAAATTTTCGTTTTTTATATACAAGGCAATAGGATCATATGCGCAGGCATATGAAGCAAAACTAAGATAGTGTACAGAGCACGTCAAAACTATAGAATACCCCATCATTATTGACGAAAAATATTTCTCTGGTTTTAAGAAGCTGATGTTATCAACTCATATCTTAAAAATGAAGAAATTCTATTCGAAAAAATTAGTAGGGTGTCCTATAATCTTAGGACATCCTATAGAATTTTTATGTACGAGGGCAACGAGCAATAAGTATGCAACGAACCTAAACTGCAGTTTGAAGTTCGAATCGAAAAATTCGGGTTCGAAAACCATCCAACCGATCAAGAAAAGGGTGATTATTTAGGCGCTTTCCTAAGTGTTACTCGAAGTATGTGGGTAATTATTGAAACACCCTAAAATTGGTCAAGTTCGAGATAGGGTATTTCTAAACATTATTGATTGCTTTTTAAGATGTCTGAAACCATTGAACTTTGAAGCTATTATTGCACTGTATGGACCTCTACTATAGACAATTATAAAACCATTTCTTTTCAATTGCTTCTATTTCCTTTTATTGAGAAACTGCGCATAACTGAAGTCAAGAACGAACCTGCACCCGAACCAGAACGCTTGGGATTGGTGCATGCCTATCAAGCAATCACTTTTTTATCTTCGTAAATTATTCTATCTTTTTGTACACAATACGAAGATACATGATCGTCATATTGGGCCATGTAAACTGTCGTGTTCCCCTTGGAATAGCTGTTTACAACCAGCAACGAGTCTTGGCCATGGGTCTGGAACCACTTTTGTCGGGGTGGAGCGGAGCGGGGAGACGTGGGACAGGGTTAAGCTAATCTTGGAAGTTTCTCTGTGCTTAAATTTCACAACAGAATGTGGGTGGGGTGGAAATCCTTTCTTCACTTAGACACTAAAATCGTTCGAATTGCTGATGGATAATGAAATGATAAAAAAATATGCAATAATAAGAAAAGTTAAAGTCGATATTTGCATCAATTTAAAAGAAGACACAAACAAGAATTATTTAAATCTATTATCATATTGATAAGAACATTCACAACTTTTTTCAAACTTATTGAAATTAGCATGTCGCATTCACTCAACAATATGCAATTAGAGCCTTGAGATCCTGCAAAAAAATGGAACCGAGAACCGAATTGGAGTCGTAGAAACGGAAGATTTTTAACTGATAACTGGAGACCTGTTTAAGTGTTGCATAGTTTGAAGTCAGAGAAACTAATCATTGATCTCACAAGTAGCAAACTATGTATATTTCTTGCACAATTAGATGGAAAGAAAAGTCGAAAATAGCTAAAAGTGTGATTAAGGCCTCTGAAAAAAATCCAGTGCCGTCAAAAAAATCATTTTTTCAGAACAGGTATGTTTTGATAATCCGATGTGCTCGTTCATTAACATTATGGTTGTGAGCCATGCCGCCCTTGTTAAAAGGGAGGTCTTCGCTATCAATGAGGATTTTGCGTCTAAAACAAGTCGGTTTTTCTTACAGCTGTTTCGAGGTGATACGTCTCCAGTAGTATTCTATCATATCATAGTAAAAGATAAACTCAATTTTTTTGTTTCAAAGCTCTTTTTTTTGAGGATGTTCACTAAAGGAAAAAACATTTTCTTTTAAAGAATAGTTTTTCTAAATTCGACTCTTTTCATAAAAATTTCTTAGCTTGATTGATAACTTTTTGATTTAATGTCTTGCTACTAGCGAAGAAAGAAAAAAGAGTTACGAGAATTATTGAATCCGACTGTTTTCTGTTAAGTAAAAAAAAAAAAAAAGAATAAACAGTTTCAGCTGATTTGATTCAATACCATAGAAGATACGATAGAGACTAAAAATGAGCATTATGAATGTATTAAAATTATCTTAGCACCCACTAATGACTAGATATAAATGTAAAATTTCTTTTTATATGATTCTAGGCACTTCAATGTTCGCATAAAGTATTAGTTCAATATGATTATTTATTAGCGAAAATATTATACACCTGATTAACAGGGATGATTCTCTCATTCTTTCTATCTGTTGTCTTATCTTGTAAAGAAATCCTTAGTTCAAAAATAAAGACTTTAACAATTGCAAAAAGTAACATATAACTTACAGGTTTCTAGAGAAAAATTATTACATGAGTTCTCTTCAATACTGTTATTAGATCAGTGGTTCCAAAGATACTTTAAAGGAATCGAATTTTGAGCCTTTTTTTCTCGCTTTTATTAACCAGAAGCATAACTGAACCATCAGTTTCGATTCTGGGTATTTGTTGAAACTTGCAGGCCTCTATATACAGTTCATCTGCTTTCGAAGGATAGTTTTCGGCATAGATCAAGTTGTCAAATAAATCAGATCTAATTCGAACACAACAACTATTACTAGTAATATTTTATGTCTTTGTTCGATAGAGAATAACAAAATAAAAGATTGATTGATCTCGAAACTGTATCTCTTTTGTGTTCTTGTGTCCAATTGTTGTACTCTTGTGTGTTCTCATGTCATTTTTTGCAATATATAATTGAATAAATCAAATGATCAAAAGATACAAGCATCTGATAGAAGCTTAACGGGGCAGCGAAGAAAAAAAATTTAAGGTCGGGCGGAGCAAGGAACAAAATATTCTCCCCGTTTCGGCCTCTGATTCGAACTCAACAATATGACATAAATTTTTGATTTTTTCCTTACATAACATCATCTACTTTGATAATCTAATGCGCTATAAATGTAGAAACGTCCCATATTGACGAGCGAATGCAGAATGGCTTAAAACATTATACCATAGAGCTTGAAATTAGAAAACAAGCTAAAAAAAATGAGTCAATCTCAAAATAATGAGTGTGAACTTTTGCGATCATCTCAATGCCTAACTGAACGATAAAAATTCAACTTTGCCTATTAGTATCTTATAGTAAAATCCTTCCATTTAAGTTCACATCTGTGAAAAAATTTTGCTACGATGCAACTCGATAATAATGAGAACTGTTGTAACCTAGTTAAAACCGACTCGAATAATTAAATGCATGCCCATTTGCGATGGAATGTATTTAACATGGATGCTTAACAAATTTTCAAAAAAATTGCCTTTCGAACTATTTTCTTTATAAGATGGAGTGATGATAAAGTCTCTGCTGAACAGACGAGACGGTAGCGGGGTGACCATTTAGTTGCTCTGTCCTTCTCTGGTATTTACGATTCACTTTGCATGAACAGTTGATCTAAATATGAATTACTATTATTCTTATATCAAAATTATCTTTTCCATTTATAAAAAGGTAGTAATTTAAATTTTGTTTTTCGTGCTTTCTAACTTTTTATTGCTCCAAAAATTATGAAATTAAGATGAATTACGAAGCGAGCATGGAAATTTCTACTAAAATTATTCCATAAAAGGGAAGAAAACTTCAAAATCGGATTTTGAAGAAGTTTTGCGTGATCAAAATTAGACTCATCCGTCAAAATTGTTATTCTGATGGATTGGCTCTACTGAACTACTTGAAAATATCGTTTCGATACGTTTCTTCTAGTCGAGTGGTTGAAATGTGCTCGAGAGTTCTGCAGTATTTTCTCGATAGTTGTTCTTTCTCCAAGTA